CAGAAATCTGAGATGATTATGGAATTTATGGTTTCGCATAAAATTGGATAGAAATGTTCGATTTTCTTATAATTGTGCCCATACCAATATTTTTATTTGAATTATAAAAATGGAATACTTCAGCCGACTATATCTGGTAGCTCATACACATTCATATTTAAATAATCGAACATTGGCTAAGGGTATACATCTGTCGGCAAAAACGATACCTGATGCTTTTTAAATTTTTTATAGGAAAAAACGCTACCTCAGCCTTTGCTGACGAACTTTTTTTTTTTTGAAAAAACTTCCTCAGCCGTTGCTGACGAACTTTTTTCTATAAAAAAATTGACGGGAGAGCATTCATTACCTTGCTGTATTTATCTCCCCATCTGTATTTTCAAGCTTTATCAAACGTTTATAAACGTTTTTCTATTTTTTACTATTTGAGATAAAATTTTTACAATTCTGGGACCCGGGTGGCCTCTATTTCAAAATCAGGTGAAATAAAGGAGAAGAAAACATAAAAGCAAAAACAAAGAACCAAAATTACGATTAATGAAAAACTATCTCACTGTGTTGTTGTAAATTCTATAATCGTAATCTTGGTTTTAGCGGCCGTGAAGGTTGTTTCATTGTTCCAGACTGCGGCGCTATTGTTCGGTACAAATGGACGGATGGGTGGATAGATTTGTGGGGCGGGGCCGCTGGTTGATTGTGGCACACTTATAAAAGTCAACATTGTTTGCTTTTGTTTTTGCCGCAGCAGCAGCAACAGCAGAAGCAGCCTCGGCGGTAGTAGTTAAATAATTTACTTGTTTTTTTTTATTTAAAAACAAAAGTTCAGTTGTGAAATTATTATTTGCTTTACTTACGCTTTTGTTGTTGCTCTGTTATTATGATTATCATTAATATTTATTTGGTTTTTCTTTTACTTTTTTGGAATGGTATTAGGGGTGGGGGAGGAAAATAATTATTGTCACCTCGCAGTGTTAACGTGTTGTTCACAACTTCACCACTTGATAAGCTTGTTATTTTGTTGTAGTTTTTGGTGTTTTTACAATTCACTGGCTTGTTGAGATTTCAAAATTATTTATGATATGGATAATCTTAAATGTAAACGTCATTGAAAAACTAAATTTTTTAACACCCCAAAAAGTGGAATTCAAAAACCGTAAAATCGGATAAGGATTTTTATCGAAGCTATATAAAAATCCGTAACGATCTCGATAAAATTTGACAGACAGATTTATTTTCGAGCACTCTCTGATGTCCGGGCAAATTACCCATGTGAGGAGAAATCCCTAATCGGATGAAACATATATATGGGAGCTGTAGCTATATCTGAACCGATTTTCTCCAAATTTGATGTACTTGCTTCTACTTGTGCCAAAATTCAGGTCACTTGGACTGATATTAGCCATTTGGTGCACGAAACAACCTGAAATCGGATAATGATATATATTTGGGAGCTATATCCAAATCTGAACCGATCTTGACAAAATTGTAAACACTTATTTCTGGGCTATATCTGGTATCTAGTACCAAAGATTATTTTTGTGGTGTGCATATTACCCATGTGAGGAATTTATAACCCCAAATCAGATGAAACATATATATGAGAGCTATAGCTACATCTGAACCGATTATAGAATGAATTCGGTTAAATGTGCCAAATTTCAGGTCATTTGGACTAATATTGGTCATCGGTTAAAGATATATATGGGAGCTATATCCTAATTTGATCCGATCTCGATAAAATTTGACAGAGGTACTTTCGAGCTCCATTAGTTATCTGGTTCAACATATCATTGTTGTAGAAGGCATGTTACACATATGAAGGACTTAAAATCCCAAATCGGATTAAAAATGCAGGGTGAGAGGAAAAAACTACATCAAAGTCAAACGTCATAATTTTTACATTTTTTTTTTAATTTTTAAAAAATGTCGGAAATTACATCAGATTTTAGAATAAGTTTAGATTTATTTATTAGATTTATTATTAGATTTATTCGAATTGGTCACCTTTGGCACGAATTATGGCCTTCACACGGCCAATGAAACCGTCACATGCTGCCCGCTGCGAAGCGCTTGTAAATAATCCAATGGATTGGTATCCGAAGATTTCGGTGGCCATTGTGCGCTGGAAATGAAGTGATCTTCAATACCAACCATCCTAGACACAATACAAATTGTTCTGCCCAATTTTTAAGCACTACGTCCAATAATGTGGACTGGATCGTGATTTTAACAGACAGACGGACATTGTTAAATCGACTTAGAATTTTATGCTGATTATAAAGATATATACTTTATGGGGTCTATGACGAATATTTATGGATGTTACAAACAGAATCACAAATTTGATATAACCTCCTTTCCGAGGTGGAGGGGTATAAAAATATATAAATTTTATTAGATTTTATGAAGTTTGATACCTCTAAAGTATGTTGTGAAAGACTATTTGTATTCCAGAATACAATGCTATAGCAAATAAATACTCAGTACTTCTGATTAACTCCTCAGTGCTACGGACCAACTTTTCGCTATAGCAAATAATTCCTAATAATAATAAGGGCTACTGACGAATTTTTGCTATAGCAAATAATTCCTAAGTGCTACTGACGAACTTTTTCCTGTAGCAAATAATTCCTCAATGCTACTGACGAACTTTTTGATATAGCAAATAAATCCTCAGTGCAACTGGCGAACTTTTTGTATAGCAAATAATTCCTCAATGCTACTGACGATTTTTCGGCTATAGCACATAAATCCTTAGTGCTATTGACGAACTTTATGCTATAGCACATAAATCCTTAGTGCTACTCACGAACTTTTTGCTATAGCAAATAATTCCTTAATGCTACTGTCGAACTTATTGCTATAGCAAATAAATCCTGAGTGCTACTGACGAATTTCTTGCTATAGCAAATAAATCCTTAGTGCTACTGACGAACTTTTTGCTATAGCAAATAAATCCTGAGTGCTATTGAAGAATTTTTTGCAATAGCAAATAAATCCTGAGTACTACTCACGAACTTTTTGCTATAGCAAATAAATCCTGAGTGCTATTGACGAACTTTTTGCTATAGCAAATAAATCCTGAGTGCTACTGACGAACTTTTTGCTATAGCAAATAAATTCTCAATGCTACTGACGAACTTTTTGCTATAGCAAATAATTCCTCAATGCTACTGACGAACTTTTTGCTATAGCAAATCAATCCTGAGTGCTACTCACGAACTTTTCGCTATAGCACATTAATCCTTAGTGCAATTGGCGAACTTTATGCTATAGCAAATAATTCCTCAATGCTACCGACAAACTTTTTGCTATAGCGAATAATTCCTCAATGCTACTGACGAACTTTTTGATATAGCAAATAAATCCTAAGTGCTATTGACGAACTTCTTGCTATAACAAATAAATCCTTTTTGCTATAGCAAATAATTCCTCAATGATACCGACGAACTTTTTGCTATAGCAAATAAGTCCTCAATGATACTGTCGAACTTTTTGCTAAAGCAAATAAATCCTGAGTGCTACTGACGAATTTTTCGCTATAGCAAATAATTCCTCAATGCTACTGACGAAATTTTTGCTATAGCAAATAAATCCTGAGTGCTACTCACGAACTGTTTGCTATAACAAATAAATCCTTTTTGCTATAGCAAATAATTCCTCAATGCTACTGACGAACTTTTTGCTATAGCAAATAATTCCTCAATGCTACTGTCGAACTTTTTGGTAAAGCAAATAAATCCTGAGTGCTACTGACGAACTTTTTGCTATAGCAAAAAAATTCTCAATGCTACTGACCAACTTTTTGCTATGGCACATAAATCCTCAATGGTCCTGACGAACTTTTTGCTATAAGAAATAATTCCTCAATGCTACTGACGAACTTTATTCTATAGCAAATAATTCCTCATTGCGCTACTGTATTCCATAGAAAAAATCTAATCCATTCTCGAAGAAAGTTATACCAAATCCCCAATGAAGTAGCGAAGTAGCGCTGAGTACCTTTGTCGCAAATTTTAGTCAATGTTATCAACAGAGATTATGAGAGCCAGTAAATGTGTCGTTAACTCGAAGCGTTAAAGAAAAAAACAACAACAAAAGCAAAACCGCCAAGTCATTTGACACGTGACGTCATGGCGAGTCATAATAGGGAACGACATGTGCTGTGTTGCTCTTGGCTGTATAGCTTTGCTTGGTTAAATGGCTGGCTGGCTGGCTGGCTGGCTCGCTGGTTGAACGTTACGTTTTGAGTGTTTTTATGTACGTACATATGTAAATCCAGCGAAGATACATAGATATTCCATTTGTGGGGATTTTTCGTACATTCCTCAAAAAAAGCAAAAAAAAAAAAACAAAAAACCACCACAGCATGAAATGTTTAAATTCTGACTAATTATTGATGATTATTTTGTTGGTATTTTTCGTTTTTTTTTATCAATCATTTATTTGATGTTTGTTGTAGTTTTTTTTTCAAAATAGTAACAACAACAACCCTAGTAATTGTAACCATTAAAATGACAATTAATTGATGTTGTTGTTGTATTTCAAGGTTTCATTCTTTGTTTTTGTGATCTGGTTAGATTTTATTCAATTGAAATTGCAACGGAATCGAATCGAACATAAAACAACTCAATTACAATTTAATTGTACACTGCAACATTTATTTAACTGAACAAAAAGCCATAACTTTTTCTAATACATATTTCGAAAAAAAAAACAAAACCCGAAATATTCAAATGAACGCTATTTCATAACCATTTTATATTTTATTTTACAAAATTTTATTGGTTCAAACTTTCACTCATGTTTGGTTTTTTTCTTTGTTTTCTTAGATGTTTGTTTCGTTTTTATCGATCTCCAGCCGTTATTTCACAATATTTTTAAAATTCTTGTTTTTTTTCTTAAACTTGGGTTACAGCTTCTCTTTCTAAAACCGGCAATTTGTGTTTTGTTTTATTTTTTTTATTCATTTTTTTTTTTTTTTTTGTTAATTCATTTACCTTTTCTTCTTCTTCTTTTTCTTTTATTTAATGTCACTACCACACTTGTTTTGTTGTCACGCCGTCGTCTAAACACAAATTCGAACTTCAACCGTCCGTCACGCTCGAACCTCTCGCACCAACTGAACTTTTATGAATTCGATGCCAGAGTTTTGTTTGAATATTTATTAAAAATCGTTAACTAAACGTTTTGTTGTTTTTTTTTATTCAACAACTAAAGTCGAAACATCGATAGTGCTGTTCATTATCTTGTCAAGCTCTCTTTGAACAAAGAGAGAATTTGCAAATTGAAAGCCTTCTCTCTCTTAAGTAAGTTTTTTTTTTGCTTGGTTGTATTGCGTATTGATAAGATCTCTTGCAAAGTGGAAAAAAGAGAGTAAGAGTTGAGAGTGTATAATTTTTTGTTAAATCATCATTGTTATGACGAATACTGAACAGAGTTTTGACTGCTACGTATTTCTCTTCTTGCGATTGGCCATTATAATGTTTGGAACTAAATGTTTGTACCATAGACCGATTTTTATACCCTCCACCAGTCATAGTATGGAGGGTATAATAAGTTCGTCATTCCGTTTGTAACTCATCATCAAAAAATAATTTTAGACCAAATAAAGTATATATATTCTTGATCAGCGTAAAATTCTAGGACGATTTAGCAGGCAGGTCCCATATAACGGTACCAACGATATTCGGCATTTTGATGATTTGAACCACATTTTTCAATGGAATTGTCTGAAATTCTACACAAGGAGTGTGAGTACTTTACCCCCTGAAGGAGAATTGTCTACAGGGTGAGACGAAAAAACTGCAACCAACTTCATAATCATGTAATTTCTTTACATTTGGATGGAAAACCACAAGTGGCTATCGTTAGAGCACTCCAGCATTTAAATATGAATAAATCTTTCGTGTCTCGTACCATCGCTCGTTACTGTGATACTGGTAGCGTAGCCCGACGTCAAGGAAGTGGACGGAGGAAAACAGAAACATCAGCAGAAATTGTTCGAAAAGTAAAAAAGTAAAGAAGCGACTTGATCGAAACCCGCATCGCAGTAGCCGAAAAATGACTCGTGAGCTGAACACATTCCATTCGGAAAATATTGAAAAATGACATCGGGCCATTGAAGCCATTGAAATTCCAAAAAGTGCAAGTACGGTGTATTAAAGACTTTGGGTACGCAAACATTTTGGCCGCAGACCGTGGACATTAGAACAGGACTCCCCACCATCGCACTCAGCACGCGCCACCCAAGAATGGTTACAAAATGGGGTTCCTCGATTCATTTCCAGCGCACAATAGTCATCAAAATCTCCGGATACCAATCCGCTGGACTATTGTGTCTAGAGTATTTTGGCACTAAAAAATACCAAAGTGTCAATCACCTCAAGCAAGGGCTTCGCCGGGAATAGGCCAAATTACCGCAGAGCAACATTCGGGCAGCGTGTGACGGTTTCATTGGCCGTTTGAAGGCCATAATTCGTGCCAAGGGTGACCAATTCGAACAAATCTAAATTTGTTCTAAAAGTTGATGCTATTTCCGACAATTTTTGCTTTCATTCAACAAATTAAAAAAAAATGTAAATATTATGGCGTTTGACTTTGTTGCTGTTTTTTTTTTATCTCACCCTGTATATCTTCAACCGATTAATCAATTGTGCACCAAAAATGATCAATATCAGTCAAAATGACCTGAATTTTGGCACATCCGACCAAATTCAGTCTAGAAGCAAGTCGATTAAATTTAGTGAAATTCGGTTCAGATATAGCTTTAGTTCCCATATATATGTTTCATCCGATTTGGGCTTTTAAGTCCCTCACATGTGTAATATGCATTCGACAACAATGATATTTGGTACCAGATATCGTATAGAGCTCCGGAATACATTTGCCAAATTTTATAGAGATCGGCTAAGATTTGGATATAGCTCCCATATATATATCCTTAATCCGATTTCAGGTTTAATGTGCAAATTATGACTTTTGACTTTTCCTTACTGGTCTCTTTTTGTGATTAACCATTGCATTGTTTTGAACCAAAAGTGTGTAGCATAGACCGATTTTTATACCCTCCATCTTGAAAAGGAGGGTATATTAACTTTGTCATTCCGTTTGTAATATACCTAAATATTCGTCGTAGACCCCATAAAGTATATATATATTCATGATCAGCATAAAATTCTAAGTCGATTTAACAATGTTCGTCAGTCTGCCTGTTGAAATTACGATACATCCCACATTATTTGATGTAGAGCTTCAAAATTTGGCAGAACAACTTCTATTGTGTCTAGGATGGCTTTGGTATTGAAAATGAGATATGTTGGTCCACAGTTTTGTATAGCCCCCATATAACGGTAACTCCCGATATTCGGTACTTGGATGATTTTCGCTACATTTTTTCACGGATGGGTTCCAGCTCGGCGACAGAAGATTGGTTATATAGGTCCACATTTTTGTATAGCCCCCATATAAGGATACCTCCCAATATTCGGTATTTTGATGGTTTCATCCACGTTTTTCCACGGATTAGTCATAAAATTGGAATTTGTAGTTCACAATAGGTTCTAGCTTCGGTGGCGGAACATAGTATATATAGGTCTACGCTTTGGTATAGCCCCCATATAAAAGGTACCTCCCGATATTCTGTTATTTGTTTGTTTTTATTTCAAAATTAATAAATAATAAAAAAAACATTCAAAAAAAAAGAATTCAATGTGAAAAGTTTTTTTAAGTAGAGCATATCTCTTTCATAAATTTGGCCAATTTATGCTCTTCGAGTAATACTCTGACTTCTCTTCAAACAGGGGTGCTCAAGAAAAAATATCTCTCTCGAGTCAAATTTCTCTTTGCTTATTTAAATCAAGAACAAAACAGTGTTAAGTCATTATTTATAAAAATATTATTTATCCATTTGCTTTATAAATTAATTTGGCAAACATTCGTGTCTAAAAACAATTTAATAGAACCGTAAAATATAAAGAAAAACAAAATTTTAATTTTCTCTTAAATTATCTCTTTTTTTGCTTCATGTTCTAGAACACGGTTTTGAGCACCGCTGCTTCAAATAATACCCAACGTATTAAGGAGTATTTATCAGTTGTTCAAATACATCTTAATTTATGGAGGCCTTTTTTTCTCCCAGGTGTTTGTAAATTTTTTACTCAAATAAATAAATTGATTTGTCGTTTACACATCTGACATTTAAAGAAATGGGAATCAATGCAAAAGCTATGGGAATTTACCAATTTTATAATCGATAGAATTTTTTCTTGATTCCTCTTCTAAACCCCAAACCACGCATTATTTATTTTAATTGGTAGCTTATTTATTTTAATGGGTAGTTTTATTAACAACATTTATTCAGTGTTAAAATAAATGAAATATTAAGAAAATTGAAGTGTTAGTTTTCTCTTAAATAATTTCGTTTTCTATTTTTCCAGCGGTGCTCAAAACCGTGTTCTAGAACATGAAGAGAAAAAAGAGATAATTTAAGAGAAAATTAAAATTCTGTTTTTCTTTATATTTTACGGTTCAATTTAATTGTTTTTAAATAAGAATGTTTGCCAAAATAATTTATAAAGCAAATGGGTTAAAAATATTTTTATAAATAATGACTTAACACTGTTTTGTTCTTGATTTAAATAAGCAAAGAGAAATTTGTCTGAAAAGAGATATTTCTTCTTGAGCACCGCTGATTTTTCGAACCTCTTGCAATGCCCAATGGAAGAGACAAGGTTATTACTAGCTCTTTTAACTCTCTCTCTCGCTCTCTATGCTAATAAAATATTAAAATCATGCCAACTCTGTAGAAATTGTTATCAGGTTTTGGCCGGTATCAGATGTGTAGGACGAATGAAGATAACGAATGTTGGGGAGAGTACATGGCCAGCACATGGGAAAATACTTTTTTCTTTGCCTCTTTCTATCGGAATTCTTCTCATTTTAAACAAATACAAACGAAACTAAAGTTAACACCTTTTGTTTTCTTGAAAGAAATATTGTTTGAGATTACGAAGTGAAGCGCCTATTCTGGGAAGACACCCTAGCCAGTGTGCTGTGGACTTAAGGCCATGTCAAGCTTGACAAATCTACAAGGAAATCATACAAATGTGAGGCCAAGAAAGCCAAACAAAGATATTTGAAAAAGGAATAATGTTTGAGAAAAGCCATACGTATTTGAAGAGAAGTAGAGAGGATGGATAAATGCGTCGAACAGAGTTGTGTTTTAACGCCAGAGCCAATAAAACCTCTTTGCGAAATTACATCAAGATGATTAAGGGATCCGAGTCGGAATGGACACTGAGTCTAAGGGCGCAAGTACATAAGAAGCTTGAAGTCATGGCTGGGCATATTTTGTGACATTTCATAAAGGAATTACAGAGCCGCACTAAAATCCTGCCGTAGTTTTCCTTTATAATTTGACATTAATATGCCTAGCCATGACTTCAAGCTTTTTACGTACTTGCTTCTTAATCCTTGATGGAGCATGGCAGTGGCATAAAAGTCATAGACATTTTTGATCGTATATTATATTCTGTTCGGACAGTCTTATCGAATTAGTACCGCTTGGTACTGTATACTAAGTTCGACAGGAGCGATTTAAGCATTACGTTTAAGGTTGCTTGAGACGTGATTTTTGATGCGCCTGTGATAAGTCTCTCGGTGTAGCCTATCTAAGAGATTGTCATCATCTGATCTGAGTTTGATTTGATCTGTTGCAATTGCAACCCGTTTCGATATTTTTACAGTCAAGAAAATGTGTCATTGCTAACAGGGGTAAGACTAGAGTCTGTTCATACGTCATTATACCCTAAACCAAATAGTATTATGTGCATTTGTTTGTAACATGGAGAAGGAAGCGAGATAGACACATAGTTACTTTTGAGGATCTTTATAGAACTACTTTCTGAGTCGATTTATGCATGTCAGTCCGTCCGTTCACGTATTCTTGTGAACAAAATGCAGGTCAGATTTATTATCCAATTGAGATGAAATTTTGCAAACAATATTTGTTTGGCCCACAGACGAACCCTATTGAAATTTGTGATAATCGGATCAGATTTAGATATAGCTCACATATATCTTCAACCGATTTCGGTCAATATAAGTCCTAATAACTTGTATTGCTGTACATCCTACCGAATTTAATCTAGCAGCAAGTTAATGAAAATTTGGAGAAAATCGGTTCAGATATAGCTATAGCTCCCATATATATGTTTCATCCGATTTGGCGTCTTAAGTCCCTCACATGCGTAATATGCACTCCAGAAGAATGATAATTGTTACCGGACATCAGATACTGCTCGAAAATACCTCTGTCAAAGTTTATCGAGATCGGTTAGGACATAGCTCCCATATATATCCTCAACCGATTTCGGGTTAATTATGCACCAAATGACTAATATCAGCCCAAACAGGCTGAAATTTGGCACTTCCGATGGAATTCAGCATAGAAGCAAGTACATCAAATCTGGTGAAAATCGGTTCAGATATAGCTATAGCTCCAATATATATGTTTCATTCGAAAATCGGTTCAGATATAGCTATAACACCCATATATATGCTTCATCCGATTTGTTATTTAAGTCCCTCACATTCGTAATATGCATTCGACAACAATGATATTTGGTACCAGATATCCTTTGCCAAATTTTATCGAGATCGGGTAGGATTTGGATATAGCTCCCATATATATATATCCTTAATCCGAATTCAGGTTTATTGTGCAAATAATGGCTAATATCAGCCCAAATTGAGTGAATTTCGGAACGTACGTTTTCATTTAGTGGAACTCGACTCCGATATATATATTTTTTAATAATCCTTCTCGAAGTGATATACTGCACTCTATAGTAATGTTTTTTGGTATAAAAAATATCTACGTCAAATTTAGTGAAAATCGATTCAGAATAGGATATGCATCCCATATATTAGTTCGCCCTGAAACCAAAATATAACTGCTCTAAAGCCAAAGCTTTATAGGTGGTAAATTCCCACTATAAATTCTTTTGTTACAGGAGCTCTACTAAATATGCATAGTGGCGTGGGATATCATATAGTCGGCCCTGCCCGACTTTTTATTTTTCCTTACTGATTACTTGTTAACTCTTATTTCATAATCTGCTGGAATTTTCCTGTAATTATTGAACAAATTGAATTTTCTCGCGCAAGGCTAGGAGGACAATTTAGATTAGGTACAAGTCCTAACGAACTCTAGAAAATACCCTTCACTTTTTGAGTGCTAGAAGATCGACAAAAAATTATTATATCCTCTGAGTTGCAATAGAAATAAAACATTTATAATTCCACAATTGGGATATTTATAGCGGATAGAAACGCCAATTTCACGCTAAAAATATTTTCTTTTTTATTACTACTTTATCTTATTAAATATCGTTGAGGGTATGCTATTTCATTAAAGTTGTCAAGTCATTGTGAAAACATTTCAATTTATTCATGTATTGTGTACTGAGAGATAAAGAGAGAGGGAGAGAGAGCGCTTGCTTGTGTTAAGAAGTGTCATGTATCAGAGATGGGCAATATTATAAGTAATGTAATACATCCACAACACACTTGTAAAAACATTTATCATTCAAAATTGCGACATGGGCGTAATTGTTCCTTTAGAGTAAATTTTTTTTCTTTGATGCAGATTTTAAAAATCTTCGATTGGAATGATCGGCAACTTCTATCAGAGCCAAAGTAGACTACAATTAAAACCAATTCAAAGCCAGGGGACTAACAAATTTAATGTCAAAATGCATTATTGTGATTGAAATCGCAGATCAAACGATAAAGAGTATTTTATATACCCTCCACCATAGTGTGGAGGGTATATTAAGTTTGTCATTCAGTTTGTAACACCTCGAAATATACATTTTAGACCCCCCAAAGTTTATACATTCTTGATCAGCATAAAATTCTACGTCGATTTAGCGATGTCCGTCCGTCTGTGGATATCACTCTAGCTTCCGAACGAAATGAAGTAGGTTGATAAAAATTTTACTCAAATGTGTATTATGTCTCGGGACTTTTACTATTGAAAATGGGTGACGTTTTGGTATAGCCCCCATATAGCGGTACCTCCCGATATTCCATACTTTGTTGATTTTAGCGACATTATTCACCGGAATTCTTTCAAATTTGGTATTTGATGTTCGTAATGGATGCTACAGCCTAAAACATGAAATTGTCTGTGCATGTCCACGTCTTCGTATAGCCCCCATATAAAGGTACACCCCGATATTCGATACTTTGTTGATTTTAGCGACATTATTCACCGGAATTCTTTCAAATTTGGTATTTGATGTTCGTAATGGATGCTACAGCCTATAACATGAGATTGTCTGTACATGTCCACGTCTTCGTAAAACCCCCATTTAACAGTACCTCCCGATATTCGGTATTTTGTTTATTTTAGGACATTATTCAACGGAATTGTTTCAAATTTTGTATTTGAAGTTCGTAATGGATACTACAGCCTATGACAGAAAATTGTCTGTGCATGTCCACGTCTTCGTATAGCTCCCATATATCGGTACCTCCCGATATTCGGTATTTTCATGATTTTAGCGACATTATTTACCTGAATTATTACAAATTTCGTATTTGCAGTTCTTAATGGGTACTACAGCCTATGACAAAAAATCTCGTTCCATGTCTTCATATAGTCTCCATATAACAGTTTTCATTTAAGTGGTAGTTTCCGGAAGTTTTTTTTTAATTTTACAAGTTCCTTCCAAATGGTGGAGGGGATTAAATGTTCGGCCCGGCCGAACTTACCTGCTTTTTTTACTTTTTTTGTTAATAAACTTCCTATATACTTCCCATCTCCGGTATAAATGAAGTAAAAGTGAAAAGTTTTTTTTTATGAGGAATTAAGACGAATTCTCAGAAGTTTTGAAATCATCAGGAGAAATGTTCTTCCGCTCCTCTCTCGCTCTCATTCTAAGTTAAACATTGATTAACAATTACGATACGTCACGAAATTCATATTTGCACAATAAAGCATGTCATTTGATGACGGCGATAGATAATTTTTCTTATTTATTGAAATAAAAATGCAATAACGTTTGAAAGCTTACACTCAAAGAAATTAAATTTTATTTCACGTTCGAGACCCGTCAATTGGATATTGAATCATTTAACTCGTGAGACACCGGCTGCAATGCCAAAATTGGACTAAGAGGATGGACCAAATTTTCAACCAAGTCGATTGAAAAATATGACTGACACCCAAGAACTTAAATAGAGAATATGACGAAAACGTTAAAAATACTTCAGTCCGACCGAATTCAGTCTCGAAGCAAGTACTTCAAATTTGGTGAAAATCGGTTCAGATATAGCTATAGCTCTCATATATATGTTTGATCCGATTTGGTGTTTAAGTCCCCAAAATTCGTAATATCCATTCGACAACAATGAAATTTGGTACCATATATCTTATGGAGCTCGGAAATATCTCTTTCAAATTTTATCGAGATCGGCTAAGATTTTAATATAGCTCATAAATATCCTTAATCCGATTTTAGGTTTATTCTACAAATAATGGCTAATATCAGGCCAATGACTTTTGACTTTTCCTTACTGTTTTTTTAATTATTTATGCTTTTCCTAAAACTCGTTTTCAAAAATTCTAATCTGTACTTTTTATTCTTTCCTTTAAAGTGTTGGCCAACCGTTTTTGAAGTGTCTTCTAATCATTTCACTTCCCTATGAGGAGAAATCAACTATCTTTTGTGTAAATACACCGCCACCTTGAATTCTATTTGTCACGTAATTCGAAATTCCCAAATCGTTGACAGTTATATTTTGTAATTTCTTATCTAAGAATCGGAATGATAGAAAATGTAATACAATGTCAAACATTGTCGTGTGAACACGTGAGAACTACGGCAATCGTGTTGGGATTTCTTTGGCAGGGAGAGAGTGGGCGTATAGATCATCATTTTATAATAAAGTTTTTAACCCGATCCATTACATAATTCAACTTTTCTATTATTATTCTATTATAAATATTCTAACGGTATTCTATTCTCATGCCAATACAGAACACAAACACCATCACACATCGTATAAACGCAGAGCGCACGATGAGTATGACCACCATGCAAAGAGACCACGGTATGATAGGTACGAGGAACACCATGAAAGTAATCGCAAATCCAAAGAGTTCATTGAGAGAAAAGATTTCAAAAAATCCTTAATGGAAAACCGGACAAAAAACTCCAATGCATTTCAAGCAAAATCATCAAATATCCCATCACCCTATGCCCATTTGCCCCCGTCACCACCAAGACTTAAGAGGCCAACACAACCGATTTCATTGAACATGACAGCAGAATCCGCCGATATAGGAAGCGATTTCGCTCCAAAGAAAGAAAATACCATCGAAAAGACTGCTGATTCCCATGAAACTAATTCGACAAAAAATCAAGTGGCAGATAGTTCCAGTTATGTTGGTAATATCGAAGAATTGGAACATCGCAAGGAAATGAAAAAAGTGACATCTACATATCATGGTCATCATCAAAATGCATACGCACAAAATAAGCACACAGGAACTCATGAAGCAAACGAGCCCAGCAAAGATATTACAGTGTCGAAGAATGAAAATACTGGGAAAATCCAAGCCCTTTCTTCAGAGACATTATTGTCTAATACAGAAAAATTAAACAGATCAAGTCAAGTTCCTATAAAGAACAAGTCCCAAACTCATTGCATTGAAAATACTACAGAAAAAGATTCCCATAAATATACTGGGAATGTTGTAAGCAAATGGAGCAAAACATTTGATAAATTGAAAACAAATGATGGCAGAGTACAAAGCAATATCACACAAAACGAAGAAAATAAAATTAAAAATAAAACGGCCGGAAATGAGAGTTGCAATAAAAATACTGGGATTTTGAAGGGACCATTTACCACTTCCACAAGTGGTAGTAACACCTTTAAAACAGCTTTTATGGCTAATTCCCCTCCCATACAAGATAAGGGTCCCAAGGAAAACCAATTTTTTAAAAATACCGATTTTTCTAAACAAGCCCCCATAAACTCGAATTCGTGTATGCAGCAATTGCACCACGAGAAAGATTCAACTAATCGAGATAACTATGAAAATAATGATTCTAAAAAAAATACTGGGAAAATTAATGAACGTAATTTAAAATATGACAACAAAGATAATCCAAATATGAATATTCAGCCTCAAGAGAATAATGAAAATACTGGGAATTTCGCTCAACCGCATACATCAAGGCAGTCCCAGTATTTAAAGAATACTGGTTATTCAAATCACATCCATAAAATATCTAATTTGTGTACTCAGCAATTGCAAGACGATGGAGAGAAAACTAATCGAAATAATAAGGACTTTAAGAAAAATACTGGGAAAATAATTGAAGCCACAATAGAAAGTAATTTGAAATATACCAACAAAGTTAATCCAAATATTGATATACAAGCTTTAGAGAATAATGGAAAGCAACACAATGAAAATACTGGGAAATTTTCGCATACCAATATATTAAATAAGGTAGCCCCACCATATGTCAATAAAGCACAATATGATGACGGAAAAAATAGCAATTCAAAGAGTGATACCTCTAACTTTAACGCACACAATAAAAATACTGGGAATTTTTGCAAGAAAGCCTCTGGTAAATCTACCTCTCAATGCAGAATTACTCAAGCCGAAAGCCAAGAAAACATGTGCAATAAAAGTCCTTTTGATAGTTCCCTAAATCCCGATCCTGGAGTGGTCAAACAAAATACTGGGAATTTTCCACCGAATGTAAACAAATTCAATGGGCCACCGCCATCGTTATTGTTTTCTACAAAACAAATAAATGAAGGAAACCCAAATTCAAATTTGAATAAAAATACTGGGATTGCGCATATGCATCGTTATGAGAAACCAGATGGCCCTATGAGCCAAACTTCATCAGAAATTAATCAAAATGACACTAATGATGCCAGAAATAGTGCAAATAATTTCAATTCGAACTTCAGTAAAAATACTGGGATTCCACCAATCAGTTATAATGACAAACCAGGTGGTAGTATGAACCAATCACCATCTAAACTTCACCAATATGCCTCTAATAAAGGGAATATGGCAAATAATTCACCAAATATTGGGAATTTTATTCCTCCCAACATGAGATTTGATAAACCCCCTCCGGTATATGGACTACCAAAAATGTCAAATGAAGAAAATCCTTTTAAAAATCAATTTGGAAATTTTCAAAATCAACAAAATACTAGTATAAATCCTAGAAACTTTCCTCCAAACTTCACTCAACCCCCTCCTACACTCGTTGGCAATATGGAATTCAGGCACTACCAGGAAAAAAATGCCACTAATTCAAATAGAAATAATTTCGAAAATAGAATAAATCAAAATAATGGGAATTATACTGGTTTTTATAAACGCCCACCGGCGTTTGGAAACAATACACAAAATACTGGGATCAATTATCGCAATTTAAAAGGCAATCAAAATAATGGGAATTTTACTGGAAATGTGGTGAGACAAAATATTGGTAATTTTTCTCAAAATTCCCATGAATATAATTTTCCCTCGCCACATGGATATAATGCACATATAACTTCCCAACCCCACAGATATGATGAAAACAATCCTCGGATTGTGGAAATAAATAAAAATACTGGGAATTTATCCAACAACAACAACATTTGTAATGCTCCGGCTCCATATAATCATAACAGGGGACATAATATGCCAGCTACACAAAGTCCAAATGAAATGAATAAACATTTCACCAATAATACTGGGAATATGAATAATAACAAAAATACTGGTAATCGTATGGAAAATAATAATAACAACAATTGGGAACAAACAACAAACCAAATACGGTCTTCCAATGAAATAGCAAACCGATTTGATAAAAATCTAAAAAATACTGGGGATTTTTATAAGGAAAATATAAGATTGGAAGATAATAAGTCCTCAAGTTATGAAGCAAATAAAAATACTGGGAACAATGATATATGTGGAAATAAACCAAATAATGGGCCACCTGAAGTTATGGGAAGTTTCGAAAAAGAAAATACAAGTCTCCCGACCATGAGTAATCAAAATCCTTTCGATGATAAGCTCCTCCAGGCGGTTCAATTTGATGTTACTGTGCCCCCTCCCCCTTTGAATGGTAATGAAAATGGGAAATATTCGAAAAACATACAATTTGGCATGCGCCGGCGAACAAATATTCGTTTGGTGGATCATAAAATGGATCGTCATTTTGGTATTAAAAAGCAATTTTCAAAATTCGGAAATAAGGAAATCACCAAATATCCTGTAAGAAGGGGATTTAATACACAACAGATTGCAAAATCAAATGATAATAGGTTTCAAATTAATCCGAGCTTTGGTGGTAATCAGCGTTTTTATGAGGATATCAATCCAGCTCCACCTGTTGAGAATGTGAATCCCGCTAATAATATCGAACAAAATAACAATAATGGTGGACAACAATTGCGGCAGAACCATCAACGGTACAGCAACCACAATCCACGGATGAAGCCATTCGACAATCGCAATGGCAGGCCACCATTCAAGTATCAGCATTTGCAAAAACCCCTTCCTGGAATAGGAAAATTCAATCAAAGAGGCTTCATAAATAGAGCACCTTCAGTGAGAGGACGCCTTGTGCAAAGGGGCAATAGAAAACCCATACCCCTATTAAAATCAAGCCTGAAACACAATTTCCAAAGGAAGTTGTCCCGAGCTGTCATTGGAGTCCAAAACAAATACGCCAAAAAACTCATAAAAAGTAAATTAAACACAACCAAAACGGAAAAAAAGAAATCCAAGAAAACAAAATTAAAACCCAAAGACACTTGCCCGGACCAGGAAACCGCTGGAGATGATCATATCGACATAAATAAACAAGTATTCGGTGATTTTAAACCCATCCAGGTGAATGGAAAGAAACCGGCCAAGGGCCATTTGAAACCTGACCCCGAAGAATATTGGAAACAATGGTGGTCCCTTTACGGTTATGTGGAACACTCAATTGCTCCAGTGGATCGTAATGATCCCACTGTGGCGTCTGTACTAGATTTCCTACTAACACCCAACGACAAGGAATTTCGCAAACGTAAACGTGTCCTCCTCACCATGGGTGTGGCAAAAATACTTAAACACATACGTATCAATGAAACGGATTATGCCTTACGGGATATTTTTAATGTTCTCAAATACAGACATCAATTGGAAGATTCAAAATTTCAACAGTATTTGAGTGCAAAGGAAATGCAACGCTTGGAAATGGTATTGAAAAATGCCAGGAAAAAGACTCGTCGGGCATTCTTCTATCAAAGCATGATATGTCGTTGGCATTTCTCGACGCAGATTGTGCAACGTGCAGAAAGCGGGGAACAGCTCAAAGTTGGTCATGCCAGAAAACTGTTGGCCAACAAGGTGTTCCTTTATTTCGTTTGCGAGTCCATACAGGAATTGAAGGTAAGCTATTGAGAGACAATATTAAAAGGTCTACGTTTGTAGTTCTAAAAATGAAATTAAAAAAATTAGCCATTTCTTAAAAGTCCTCGGGTAAATCTTCTGTACGAATGTTATTCTTCTATATGTAAATTATTTATTTATTTTTTTTTTTTTTTTTTGTATTTTCAGAAACTAATTAACGAAGACTGGCCGGGATTTGAAGAGTACTATAATTCATTACAAAGTACATAGATTAAGAAAATTCACACACAGATTGTATATTATATACTATCGTTCTTCAGTGCCATACATGTAAATATGCATGAATAAATAAAATATATAAATATATACTTTCAGAAGTATTAAAAATCCTTTTTTTTATTTTTTCCTCTACAATGTTAGTTTAGGGATCCTTCTGATCCATCCTGTTTGTAGAAATGCAACATTAATAGAAGCGTAAGGTTGATAGACTTTAAGTGAAAAAAGAGTGGATCTGAGAGATAAGTTTGTGTAACAGTTCGGCAGGAATCAAAGAGTATGGTTTGTGCACACGATAACTCTCAAAGGAAGTATCCGAATTGATCCAAACTTCATACATCGTAATATTATTGTCAAACTTACATCGAGCTCGAAAATGGGCAAATGGTTGAAATTTTGAAAAAAAAAACTATTTTATTGCACAGAAGGAGAAAGGATAATTCGATTTTGCTCCAACTTTGTAAATCCTAATATTTGCACCAGTGCTAGGTCAGGTGCGAAAATTGACAATATCGGCTCACTCCATCAAGTACTCTTATAAAATGTGATGTAAGAGTACGATCGTCTTCAAATTGCACACATCACATTTGTTTTTTTTTTTTTAACCCAAGGTCTGGAGTGAAGATGGAATTGGTCAAAAGATGGTCAAAATTTTGAATATTCATGAAGCTCATAAAACACGAAATTAACATCCGATTCTATTTAGACTTGGCACATCTTAATATTTCCATCAACACAAGATCTATTATAAAGATGGTAGAGATCGCACCATTTCTTCTGGTACCTCCCCCACAAATGGTTAACATTTTGAATATCCATAAAAATCATAAAATCCCTAATAAACATCTTGTTCTCTTCAAATTACACACATCACAATATTTTTGTAAGCCCAAGGTCTGGTGTAAAGATGGAATATATCGGTCCACTCTTTCTGGTACCTCCCCACAAAGGGTCAAAATTTTAAATATGCATGAAGCTCATAAAACATGAAATTAACATCCGATTCTATTTAGACTTGGTACATCTCAATATTTCCTTCAACACAAGATTTGTTGTAAAGATGTTAGAGATCACACCATTTCTTCTGGTACCTCCTCCACATAGGGTTCAAGATTTTGAAAAACAAAACGCTCATAAAACTGGAAATAAGCATCCAAATCCGAACATCCATCTCCTCAAATTTCCTATATACAAACAAGATCTGTTGTGAAGATGATCTATATCTGTCAACCCCTTCTGGTACTTCATCCACAAAGGGTCACAATTTCCCATACTTATATCTGTCATAACTTGCGAAACAAGCCGGTGATTCTTTACAACTTGCTATATCTAAATATTTCTTTTAAGCAGAAATCTGATATGAATATGTTAATTATCGGCACTTATGATTTCGCATTAAATTGAATATAATTGTTCGGTTTCCTTCAAATTTTGCACATACCAATATTGTATCTGTATTAGATGAAGTTTGAAAATTTAATACTTCGATCCGCTATATCTGTTACCTCACGCATATTTCCAGATTTAACAAAAATTTGCACACATTTCATATAAGGTATAGGAAGTAGTCGAAATAGTCCAAATCTGGTACGTTGTACTATTTATATCAGTCTTACGTCAGATACGAGTTGGTGAATATTGACCAACTGCTTCGGAAGCTCCCCATAAATGTGAACAGTTTGAATAATCATAACTTAAGGCTGGGAGTATAATACACCTGTCGACAAAAGCGACTGATACTTTTTTACTTGTTTTAAAGGATTTTGACAAAAAGCGGGCATCAGGGTTGCATTTTCACAATATTTACGAAAGTGTTTTACATCATACATTATGCCTAATGCGTGATACTTATTTATTCTCCCACGGAATTATTTTGCTACAGCAATTTTTATTTATGATAGCAAAAAAGGAAAAAGAGAAAACGCCATATGGAGAAGAAATCATGATAACTTTTTTATGCGCCATACATTCCGCTCTCAATATTTTAGAAATCCCCTTTCATTTGCGGCAAATTTTCTGCGTGCGAAATGGGTCTTACCAATAATTGAATATTATGTCCGTTTGGCTTCAATTACAGCCATTAAATGTTATTTAACAAACGACAACGCTTTGATTGTAACCCACATTTAAGCATTGTTGTATGAACATGTATGCAAACAATGCAATGTTATCAAATCAAACTAGACCTGGTGAACCCTATCATTTGCCGCACAAACATACAAGACGATACCGAAGATTGATATCGAGAAAAACATCACTCGAAAAGGGAAATCTATTGGTTGCAAATTATTTTCTCTTTCGCCTTGTGAAAATGGGAGATCGCCGTCATTTTAATCGGAATTTGGATCAGGATGGTCCCCTCTTTCCAAGGGTAAGTCATGCTATACCTTTGATTGGAAAATGTGTTTCCTAAATGAATTGATTTGTTTGTCTAGAGCAATTTGGAACAAAATCTCGACCAATATTTTTCATCCAATCGGCAGCAGCAGCAATCAAACGCATTTTCACACCCGCCAATGAATGGCTTTAACAATAGGCCAGGTAAATAATATAAGCCAGCTAATTAAGATTTGTGCAGGTACGTTTGTCGTGAGTGTTCGCGCAGATAGTGGTTAACACGTGAGATTAGAGGGAAAGGATATGTATGTCAGAATGTCCCCTAATCATTTTTGTTTTTCTTATTAATTTGTGTATATATATGTGTGCATACACAAATGGAAAGCATTTATCCATTCCAGCATTTGTCCTCTCCATTTGATTGGGTAATTTGTCAATGATTGCCATTATTAAATCATATTGGAGTATGGCTGAACATTCGATTGACATCCAATTTAAAATTCCTTTTATATCCAATCTTTTGATAGGTCGACTGCCTCTACGCGCTCTCTAGATTTCCGGATAAATCTTAGAAAAATTGAAATCGTATCGATATATAAAAGTGAAAATTCAAATGTGTTATCCTAATTGTTCCTGTAATTTATTCAATATTTTAAAACATATAACTTATATTTCAAATAATCTTAAAAAATCATAATGAAGACATTTTAATAATTAGGTAATCGTTATGATGATACAATGATCCCTACTGCAAGACCATCACGAACCACGAAAAGGGATGATGTGAATGTGCCTAGCTTTTTTGATCAGAGTTCCTCACAATCAACACGTAGGCGTGATATGGACTCCCGAGAATTCGGTGATGGCAATTATTACCGAAATCAAAAAGATTATGACGATGATTTGCACAGACGTCAAGATGAGCGCCAGCATTTCGGAAGAAGCGAAGAGCTTAATCGAAGTTCCGGTAATGAGCAGCAGAATTTCCGAAGTAGGGAAGAGTTTCATCCAAGTACCCGTAACAAGCACCCGAATTTTGAAAGAAGGCAAGAAATTAATCGAAATTCCCACAACAAGTCGCAGGATTTTAAAAGAAATGAACCATTTAAAATGAATTTCGGTGATGAGTCGCCTAGTTTCGGAAGAAGAGAAGAAAATAATGGAAATTCCCGAAGTAATCGGGAAGAATTTAATCCAAATTTCCGTAATGAGCAGCAACATTTCGGAAGAAGGAAAGAATTTAGTTCAAATTTCCGTAATGACAAACAGAGTTTCGGAAAAATGAACGAATTTAACCTAAACTCCCGTGATGAGTCACAGGTTTTCAGAAGCCGGGAAGAATTCAATCCGCATTCCCGTAACGAGTCGCAGGATTTTAGAAGAAGGGAAGATTTTAATGTAAACTCTCGTGGTAACCGTGATTTCAATGGCCGCGACAACTTCAATGCTAGAAGAAGCCAAGACAATGCCACAGATTTTACTCGAAGAGCAGGGAACAATCGCCATGATTCTTCAAGGGATTTTGGTGAAATGAACAATGAAATGCAATTTTCGAATAGAGATAATGCGATAGATGGAGATGGCTATCAACGAAATGATAGATATAACGATGAATTCCCTCGTATGCCAATGGATAATCAGAGGATGGATACTGTTACTCGTTACGATGTATTTAATGAGCGTAATAGAGAACGTTCTCGCTCTCGAAATGACCGGGAAATGGACAACACAAATCTCTTTGCCCGAAGGGAATCAAAAATGTCAAATACTCAGGATGGCCCTAGAAATTATAATGAATTTCAAAGAGGTGATTTTGGTAATAGCACAAATTTCCGAAACGATCAAGAGTTGGGCAATTACGACTATAGAAATCGCCAAAATGAAGCACCATTTTCTAACAACTACAATAGAGAGTTTGGTAACAATTCTAGTTTAGAAAATATTCCTGCATTCGCTGATACACGAAACAAATTGAATCCATCATTTAATGATAATTTTGCACAATTTCCTAGGGATGATTTCCAAGACATCAGAGGTGATTATTTCAATCAACAACCACCACCAACATTTGATGAGACTCCTGGTGGTTTTGGCAACAATCAGCAGCATGGCTTCAATACTTTTCCCCAATTTGGTGGTAATGACGGAGGATTTAATAATGATAGGAATTTTGGAAATACTCGTGGATTTCCTTCAGGAAATAATTCTGCAAATTTTCCAACAAATTTCAACAACAATGGAAACGGTATGGGTCCAAGGAACTGGTCACATGCTCATGATAATCGAAATCATTCCAATCAAGAAAGAAATTCCAGACCTCTTAACAAAAAACGAAACCGTTCCAGGAATAAATCGAAAGGTGGTCGGGAATTTTCTCCCGGAAATAAAAACCCAAAACGGACAGATAATCGCTCTAACAATACAACACCCCCACAAGCAATTCCAACAGATCAGGCAAATGACAAAAGGAATCGAAAGGGTAAAAAGAAAAAGGATGCCAATTTCATAAGACGTCGCCGTCAAGCCAACATTCTCAAGGACGAGGCCAAACGTCTCGCCGAGGCGGGTATTCTAAAGAAACCCCCCAAACATCTTTCCAAATGTGAACCAGAAAAATATTGGACCGATTGGTGGCCCAAGTACGCCTACATTGAAAAGGCTGCTCAAAAAGTCGATCCGAACGATGAAGCTGTTAAGGAGTTCATTGAATTCACCTACGAACCGACGAGTGTTAAATTTGAAAACCGTAAAAAACTTTTATTACGTATCGGTTGTGCGAAAATACAGAAAAACCTGAACATTAATGAGATCAACTACCACTTGCGGGATGTTTATAAATTATTCGTGTATCGCAAACATTTACAAGATCCCAACTTTCAAAAACATCTCAACGATGAGGAAAAACGTCCCGTCAAAATGGCATTGGACAATCTCAGAAACAAAGCCAAATGGGCACTTTTGTTGCAGAGTTTAATACACAAATGGCATGCCACCAGTGAACAACAACACGAAGCAACTCGCAATCGAAATGCCATTAAATTACAGAACGATAAACTATTTCATTATTTGGTATTGGAGGCCATTGATGATTTGAAGGTAGGTTTTAAACAACGTTTGCAATGGCATTTTTACAGAGCTGAACAGAGAGTATGTGTATCATGGCTGGAGATAATTTTAAATTTCAAAGATTTTAAAATACTTTAGAAGATATTGCCTATAGGAGACCTTGCGAGGTCTTCTATTGTCTGTAGAAGGCCTTAAGAGGTCTTCTTTTGTCTATAGGAGACCATGAGAGGTCTTCTATTGTCTATAGTAGTCCTTGCGAGGTCTTCTATGGTCTATAGGAGACATTGAGAGGTCTTCTAGGGCCTATAGGAGACATTGAGAAGTCTTCTAGGATATATAGAAGACCTTGAAAGGTCTAATATTGTCTATAGGAAACCTTGAGAGGTCTGCTATTGTCTTTAGGAGACCTTGAGAGGTCTTATATTGTCTATGGTAGACCATGAGAAGGCTTCTATTGTCTATAGGAGACCATGAGAAGCTTTCTATTGTCTATAGGAGACCTTGAAAGGTCTTCTGTTGTCTATAGGAGACCTTGAAAGGTCTTTTGTTGTTTATAGGAGATCTTGAGAAGTCTTCCTCTCTGTATAGGAGACCTTGAAATGTACACAGTGTTGCGATCAAAGCTTCAAAAGTAAGATATTTTAATTTGTCAACTAATTCTCGACTGCCAGACGCTAACTGTTTGGCTTCTCTGTAAATGCATTTTATTATATCAAAAATGTATATAAATTACAATTAATTCCATTTTTAGACTTTGTGTGCCAATGAATGGCCTGGTTTTGAAGATTTCCATCAAACATTGATGACATCACTTGAAGGCAAAACATATCCTAGCAACCCAGTATTATCTGAAAATAAGGAAGACCATGAGGATGCAGAAGAAGGCACAGATGATGATGATAATGATGAGGCCGAAGGAGAGGAAGATATTGCTGATGATGACAATGCAGAAGAAGAGGAGGAAGACGATAATGCAGAGAATGCTGAAACTACAGATAAACAAGAAGAATAAATGCATCTACCTTTAGAATAAGAACCTAACACTACTCGTGTTGTATTTTTTAAATACAAGCAAACACCCACGATTGAATTACATAAATATATATTTATTTTAAAGTATGAAATAAAAAAATGTTCATATGAATATTTATCCGAACAATTGTAGGCTTTTTGGTACATCCTAATCTTTAGATAGATTGAAAAAAAAAAAATAATTGAATTTGGGACCAATCACAAAGCAGATGGTCCTAGCGGGAAAATATTAAACAAAGAAAATGATACACAAATGCACACTGAAGATTTGATATCAAATCTTATTTTGATATGGAGGGTATATTAAGTTTGTCATTCCGTTTGTAACACCTCGAAATATACATTTTAGACCCCACAAAGTATAAAATTCTGGATCAGCATAAAATTCTATATCGATTTAGCAATGTCCGTCCGTCCATCCTTCTGTGGAAATCACTCTAGTTTCCGAACGAAATGAAGTAGGTTGATAAAATTTTACTCAAATGTATATTATGTCTGCAGAGCTTTTGGTATTGAAAATGGACCATGTAGGTTCACGTATTGGTGTAGCCCCCACCTAACGGTACCTCCCGATATTCGGTATTTTGATGATTTTAACGACATTATTCACCGGAATTGTTTCAAATTTGGTATTTGAAGTTCGTAGCGGATACTACAGCCTATGACAGAAAAATTTCTGTGCAGGTCCACGTCTTCGTATGGCCACCATATAACGGTACCTCCCTATATTCGGTATTTTGATAATTTTAGCGACATTATTCACCGGATTTGTTTCAAATTTGGTATTTGTAGTTCATCATGGATGCTACAGCCTATGACAGAAAACTGTCTGTGCATGTCCACGTTTTAATGTAGCCCCCATATAATGGTATCTCCCTATATTCACCAAATTTTTTTTTTCAAGTTTCGCATTTGAATATGGTAATGGCTTATGACAAAAGTTGCCTATCGACATCGTCGTATAGTTCCTAAAATAACGACTACATTCGGTATTTTTTAGATATTAAGATAATTTTTAACGGATTTTATTTTTTTGAAAATTGTCAAATTCGCTCCAACTTGTGAGGGGTATTCAAAGTTCGGCCCGGCCGAACTTACAGCTTTTTTACTTGTTTTTATTCGTATATACTTTTTAATTTATTATAATTTTTTTTTCTACAGGTCCATTTCGCAACAATGTTCAAATGCCCGGAGGAGGAGGTTCCGACAATCCAAACTCTTCATTTGGAATAAACAACAACAGGGACAATAATACAGATTACAAACAGCAAACCTTTGTAAGCGGTAAAGGAGAACATTGGAATTATTTTGGCAGTGAAAACAACAACAGCAATGACAATTATCCACGAAAAAACAACAATAATGTCTTCGAAAGGCTTGATACAGCTAAAAGCATGAATAGTAACATGATTGAACGTAATAATTTTGATGATGATTTTAGAAGAGATGAGGAGGGTTATGGAAATAACAGCAACTGGCGAAACTTTAATTCCAATGTCAACAATAATTTGGGGAGGAACAATGATAATGTACCTCAAAATTGGAATAGTAACAATGACCTACGGAATAATTCAAAAGTTGGTCGAGGTGGTGATGATGGCTGGAGAAAAAATAACCCAAACTTTGGGCTGGACAACTCTAAATGTGAGATTAATAATGTTCCATTCAAAAGGGATTTTAATGATGGGGGCAGTGATATCAATAATACCAACAATAGACAAAACTTTGGCCCTGGAAATGTGGATGAACTACGAAATAATTCAAAAAGTGGTCGAGGAGGTGATGGCTGGAGTAATAATAACAGAAACATTGGATTGGACAATACAAAATGGTGTAAAAATTTTCCATTTGAAAAGGAGTTTAAAAACGGAGGCAGAGGTAATGTGGATGACCTACGAAATAATTCAAAAGGAGGTAATGGCTGGAGCAATAATAACAGAAACGTTGGACCGAACAGCTCAAAATGGGGGAATAATAATCGGCCTTTTGAAAAGGAACTTAATAGCGGTGGCAGAGATATTTATAGTTCCAACAATGAACCAAACTTTGACCCTGCTGCTAGGGATGCGGAAAATTTCAATCGATGGAAAAACAACACAAATTTCGGGCCAAACAATCCTAAAGATTTCAAAAAGGATAACAATAACTTTGAAGGAGGAAATAATAATTGGAATACTTTTGGCCCGCGTAATTCAATTGATTTCCAAACATTCAAAAACTTTGGAAATGTGGCCAATACCAATTCATGGGATTGTGAAAGAGGCATCAATCGACCCTTCCCCAATGATTTTGAATCACGGCCGCCTAGAAATGCCAACAACACATTTCCATCCAATAACTTTGCTGTGGATATTACCAGAAATCTGGAAAACCAAAACAATAGGCCACATAAAAGTTTCAGCATAAATAATATGAACTTTGATGATCGAAGGTTTAATGGGCCCGACGACTTTTTTACACCGGACAACAATACCAGTTGGAATAAAACCCCGGATAACTATAATAGACGTTCTAACGAGGAGACCTTTGCAACCAACATTCCAGTGCGTAGCAATAATAATTTTGAGATAAATTCTCGTAATGACGATTTTCGAGTTGATCCGAGGCAACTAGAAGACCAACGTTTTGGAAGAAATGAACTAATGTTTTCCCCAAGAAAACAAATGCTGGATGAAGTGAGGAAAAGGCATTTGGATAATCGTTATGGGAATCCCAATGCAATGAGCCACAATAAGTCACATAATATGCAAAGAAACTACCCAGTAGCAAGTGGTAGGCAAAATAACGCAAATGACCTTGATGAAGAAGAGCTATTGAGGAAACGTAGAAGGAGAAACAGTAATGACGATGGTTTCCAGAGCAACAATCAAAAAGCAAAATTCCCAGCAAAAAGAGATACCAGTTACAATAGACATTCACACGAGGCTCCAAATTCATTTGAATTTGAACACCATGACACCCTGTCGGATCATCACGACTACGATGACAATGATGATGCTTACAATTATGGCGATGATATCAATGACTGTGGCAGCGAAGCGACCGTTTACACCGGTCAATTGATACTAAAACCATATCCAGCTGGGCCAACAAAACGCAATCCGAAAGCATATTGGAGAAACTGGTGGCCAAAATATGTTTACATTGAGAATAGTATCGAGCAAGTCGATAAAAATGATGAATATGTCAAACATAAACTCAAATTCCAACCCCTAACTGATGATGACATACACAAAGAAGCTGGGGATTTTATAAATGCAGCAATGAAATACTTCAGTACAGCAACAAGAAGGTTGACTGAGCAAAATTTCCGTAATCGAGACTTACGCACCATACTTAAAATGCGCGGTACGGTGTATAATATACTCTTCAATGTGGCGTTAACGAAGAAGGAGCAGGCTCGTTGCCATTTCCTGTTACTTTTGATGAATCACAAAGTGAAATTGGCATTCATTTATCAAGACATCATCGAATTCTGGCATCGATGCAAAGAAACGGTTAGACGTTTTGAGAATGCGGAAATTTCATTGTCGGACGAAGTGACACAGGCCTATGTCGTATTGAATGATCGTTTATATATTCATTTTCTATACGAATCAATAATACAATTGAAGGTAGGTAAAAACTATGTATAGTATTTTATATAGCATATGTCTCACATTCTTCAGTTGCAAAGAAATGTGTACTCCTAGGACAGCATTTATGATATCGGTTACTGGATACAGGGTGAGGTAAAAAAGCTGCAACAAAGTCAAACACCATAATTGTTACCTTCTTTTTAATTTTATTGAACGAAAGCAAAACATCTCGGAAATAGTATCAAATTTTAGAATAAGTTTAGATTTGTTCGAATTGGTCACTATAGTACGAATTATGGCCTTCAAACGGGCAATGAAACTGTCACACGCTGAGCGAATGTTGCTCTACGTTATTTTGGCCCATTCCCGGCGAAGCTCTTGCTTGAGGTGATCGACACTTTGGATTTTTTTAGTGCTAACCTTGCTTTCCAAAATACTCCAGACACAATAGTCCAACGGATTGGTATGCGGAGATTTTGGTGGCCATTGTGGGCGGGAAATGAAGCGAGGAACCTCATTTTGTAACCATTCTTGGGGGGCGGGTCCTCAGTGCGATGGTGCTGACTCCTGTTGGAATGTACAAGGTTTGCGTGCCCAAGTCTTTAATACACCCTCCAGAATATTTTCTCCATAATATTCGGCATTTTTTCTGATTCCACGGTCCATAAATACGAGCGGAGAGCGCCTATCGGCTGTTATGGCGGCCCACACCATCACCATGGCCGGCGTTTGAGTACTGCTTGCCAACCAGAAATTAAGGTTGCAATTTTGCGCTGGAAATGAAGCGAGGAACCTCATTTTGTAACCATCTGTTGGAATGTCCACGGTCTGCGGCCAAAATGAGTTCTTGAGTTCTGGTGGCCAACCGAAGGTGTACATTTTCAGCTGACATCTTTAGCAAGTAAACACAATCATTTTGTTTGTTAACAAACTGCTGGACAACGAATGTTTTCTCATAGGAGAAAACCAAATTCGGCAGTTCACCACTTTCGGCCAAGCGAACTAACTCTTTAGCTCTTTTGATTCTATTTTCTTTCTGTTGCGGTGTAAGTTCTTGCACTTTTTTCAATTTAAATGTTTTTACCCTGAGCTTATTGTTCAATACTCGCCGAATGGAATTTTGCGATATGTTCAACTCACGAGCCATTTTTCGGCCAATGCGACGCAGCTTCGATCAAGTCTCTTCTTTACTTTTCGAACCATATCTGCTGATGTTGCTGTTTTCTTCCGTCCACTTCCTTGACATGTATCGGGCTACGCTACCAGTAACACGGTAACGAGCGATGGTACGAAACACAAAAGATTTATTCACATTTAAATGCTAGAGTGCTCTAACGATAGCCACTTGTGGTTTTCCAGAAATCACAATATCACGCTTAGATTCCATCACGAATAACTTTTTCTCTTGAAAATGCTCATAAAATGAAAACAATAAAATGAGCTGTCACTGGAATAATTTTAGCAGCTGTCGGACTAGTGGCTTAGGAATGACAGCAGTCTGATGTTGGTTGTGGTATTTTCATCTCACTCTGTATAGTAATAAATAAAT